GTTGTATCTGTTTCCTAATAATAATAAAAATATTTATCCTGGAGAAATGCCCAGTCAGAATTCAATACCTTCCTCGAGGAAATTGTTGGAGACTAAATTGGCATGGGATTGTTTATAAAGAAAATTTAAGCTTTCTAAGTTCGTGTAGCAGAGAATTCATATATGCAGCAAACAGTTACAAAACATGAATGAGAACTATCTTGTGTTTTTATCTAATAGTATTTATAGTGGTTTAAAGTACTTAATAGTCATACTTATCATATCTACTTTTTATCAAGTCATGTGTTAGATGTTTGAGAAACAAATAAATGAACAAATAAATAAAAAAATAAACGCATCTACAGCTATGCCACCCTGAACAAGCCTGATCCATCTGATCTCGGAAGCTAAGCAGGGTCAGGCCTGGTTACTACTTGGATGGGATACCACCTAGGAAGACCAAGTGCTGTAGGCATAAAAAATAAAAAAATAAGGGATTGTAAGCTGACAAGGTCCTTGCAATCTGTGAGGTCAACCAAGGATTGCCTCGCCTAAAAAAGTAAAAATAAATAAAAAATAAAGGGATTAGTTATCATCAAAGGCTTTGGACTTCTTAAAAGAGGCAACTTTCAAGAACAAAGTACGAAGTTGGTTTAGAACTCTATTCTCAAATACTCTTGACTTTCTATGAAGCTTGGATCTATCCTTTCAACATCATACAACTCTGCAGTAATGATTTAGACTCTCTACAATAAGAATTAATTAGTTCTAATTCCCATCCTCCAGTATAATAGGCATTTAATCTAACACGAGTAAATAAAAGCAGAGATATAAGCCCAAATAAATGATGACTAAGTAGAAAAGGACTGACATTGAATCTTTATCAAACTGGGCAAAGATTGAGTCAGTATGAAGCAACAGAGGCATAATGAGCACTTACGAGAAATTAATTCCACATTTGGAGACCAGACGATAAATGACAAGGTCAAATAGTGGGATGAAGATAAGAACCAGAAGGGGATTTAGTACCTGTAATACCATAGTAAAAAGGATTAGTTACAAGCGTTTTATCTTATGTATTCTTATTGTACTCTCATTGGCTTGTGCACATTCTCCCTCATATTCAAACACACTTTCATCATACTAAGTACAGAATGATTCCACAGCTCAGTCCCTTTACACCTAAGACTCTATTTCCCTTGCATAGCATCTCAGTTTTCTAATATTCCAGGGAATCAGTTTCACTCTGAACTTGTTTTCCTATCAGTCAACTGAGAGCTCTTCTCTCCCATTTTCTCTTATCTTCTCCATTTCCACAGCCCAAAGGAAAATGTCATTGCCAGAAAAAGAAAGAAGAGAATGAAGATTGGGGAATTCTTGAACGAGGGGTTAACAAAGAACTGGGAGTCATCAATAAACAGAGATTCTGACTTGGTGGCTCATACAACAAAGCCTTCCCCTTTCTTTGACAGTATTTCCATGATACTACCTTGACATGGAAGAGAAAATCAAATGCTTATACTTTTCCTATGAGCTCAAAACTCACTCTCCTTGGACTTGGACAGGCGCTACTTACTTAACAAAGGATATGAAAGAGAAGTATGGAACTTAAGGAGAATATTTTCTTTTTATTATTTTTCTTTTTATTAAATGTATTGGGGTGATATTTGTTAATAAAATCGTATAGGTTTCAAGTGTACAATTCAATAATACATCATTTGTATATTGCATTGTGTGGTGATTATTTTAATCCTTATGCTTAGCACTCATCAGCATACAAGGAAAAATAACATCAAATTATGATTGGAAGTCCTAATACTATTGGTAGAAGTATAGAGGAGAAAAGAATTAATCCCCATTACTATAGAGAAGTCTCCTACCTGCATCTGTTCAGGCTGAAGCACAATAAAACCCTGAAACATAATAATAAATTAAATTTAGATGATGGCTAAAGACAGGAAAAGGTTAAATCGACAATCTTGGTATTAGCAGATAAGAAGCATAAGTTAAAATTCATCAGGTCTTTAGTTCAGGGCCACTATCATTTTGCAAGAGTTTGTGAAGGAACAGACTGGGAATGGCTTTAGGCTATGTTTGCTGAAGGTAGATGGGCCTAAAGCAGAATATTCTTTTCTGTGTACTATACATTCCTTAACTTCCAAGAGAATAGAGTCAAAGTGTTTTTATTAACATCAGTAACTGCAGTTGTGGATGATAATAATGTGAAGGACAAGACATCATGGTTAGGGTGAAGATTTCCACTGACACACAGTGTTTCCGAAGTTGTTCTCCAGGATGCTCAACAAGAGTTCAATCATGGTAAATCCTCGATAACCAGAGGAAGGAAAAAGGTGAAATTATATTTGGCAGGCTGCAAATAGACTGGCTAATAAGACCCTGGCATCATTCTACCCTACCTCATTCACAACTGAGACGTAGCAAAATAATACAATGATTTAGGAAATGGCACAATTGAGAGCAGAGGTGGAACTTTATGTGCCAAAGAATGGAGATTGGAAAAAGAGAAAATAATGCTTACAACTTTACCATGCTTTCTATACCCATGGACAAAATATCCCATGTCCAAGTCCTCCGCTGTGATTTGCTTGAGAGATGGGGCCAATTGTGTACTAGCACCATTAAACCTGTCCCTGCTATGCCCAAGGCAAGCTCAGATGGAAGAAAACAATCACTATCCCAGGTCTATATCACTTCATTTGCTATCCTCTCAACACTTCCTTGTATACATTTAAACCTTTCTCAACCTTATGTCCCTGATTTCTAAACATAAGATTCTGGTTTTTACTTCTAGATTAGCTTTCTTTATTTTGCCTACTCAGTACTTTCCTGCTAAAGGCATCTCTCTTATGATCTTAAGTCAATTTTCAGACATAAACATAAATGAGTTAATTTTTTCCTAATATAGATTATAAAGAAAATAGACTTCTCTGAAAAAAATCTCTTCAACTCACCAAATTCCTATTCATCTTGGTGGCTTGCAAGGTCCATCGTGAGCCCTAGGTCAGGCAGATGCTATTATGAGACATCCCTTTTCTGTAAGAAGGAAGTGGCTAGAAGAAGGGGTGGCTTTCAAAATAACAATTCTTACCTGCTGTTCCAAAAGAGCCCAGAACATGGGCAATGGGATATAAAGGAATAGTACCCTGGTCAGTGCCTTCACATCCATAATGAGCTGCCTCTGCAAGAAAGGGAAAGAAGGAGCCGGCTGAATTGTCATACATGGTTTTCTTCCTTGGAGTAGAAGTACCCCAGAACAGTAAGAGAAGAGATTAAATGCAGCAGAAGAGAATAATTTTGGACATTAAGAAAGATGCTACAGAGCTATAAGATGTTTTTGCAGTTCCAACTTACTGGGTATTTTTCAGCTGCCCAGTCTAGCCAGTGCTGTCGCTTTGTAATGTCCTCAGAACGGTTCTTGAATCGGTTGGAAATAGCAAACTAGAGCAGAACATAGATACGGGAGGAGAGACAAAAAGAAACCACCCCCTGCCTTTTTCCAATTTATCATCCTTTCCTTCAAACACACATACTTTAAGTGACTTCCTTTGATTTTGATTCCAAGCCTTTGATTTAATTGGACATTAAATTTCAGAATATTTCAGATATAATTTTATCTATCTTTATATCTTGTTGGCAACATATAAAACTACATTTCAGAATATTTTTGGCAATTAAAAAAAACAGTTATTTATTTATTTATTTACTTACTTACTTACTTACTTACCTACCTACTTAATGGTTAAACAGGGGAACAGAGGAAGGCTAATTAATTAATCTTAGTTTGCCAAAAGGCACAGATGTAGAACTGAAGTCATTGAAAAAAATGTATACCCATGTTTGAAGGCCTGTATGCTCAGCATAGCACCTCTTACCCTTTGATTGAAAAAGGCAGGTAAACAATTCATGGACTTACCCAGATACATTTGACAACTTGAGTCACTACATTTCCTTCTGGAGGTGTTTTTTTGTACATTTTGCTTCCCATTGCAAACACAACTGCAATTGATATACAAACAAGTTTCTTAGCTTCTTATTTAGCATCTCCAGTATGTCAATGCTAAGGACAGACTGCTGAAGTGTAGGAGTGACTGGTAGATCTCATAAAGGGCAGAAACCCACTTAACAGTTCCTGACTTGGGAGTTATAATAATTATGGGAGCCGAGAGAAGAATAAAACGATCAGTTATTACAGAGCTATCTGTTGAGACTTTCCTGTAATCACAGGAATAGAAGTCATCTCTACATCTGATATATTACCAACTTTCGTTGATCTTCTTTCTTCAGTCTGCCTCTTCTTTTCCATTACCATGGCTATGGTCTTATTTAGGACCTCACAACTTCTTCCTTGGATTATTAAAATGGCCAACAACTAGTTTCTCAATCCCTGATCCCTTCTTTCTCTTATCTGATGCCAAATTAAAATCTACTTTTCAAGACCTACCAAATGAGCCCAAACTCTTGGCATAAAAGACTTCCCAAATTCAGTATTGTCCTGATGGTTATTATTACTATCTCTTGAAGATTTATTGTTACGTGTAAAGTCTTAAGCATTTTATATATATTGACTGATTTAACCTAACAAAATATGCACTATTCTCTTCATTATACACATGAGAAATTGAAGATTCAAGAAATTAAGCAACTCAAAGCTAAAAACTGCCAGAAACTGCAGTTTTTATGGTGGTTAAGAGCATAGATTTTTAAATTAGATCACTTTTGACCTGTGGCCTAATTAAAAAATCTATGCTCTTAATCACCATAAAGTACCTCATTTACTCATTCTTGCATTATTCATTGTGCTAGACCCTACTGGGAATAAAGATTAAAAAGACTTGGCCACTGCCCACAAGGGAGCTCATGTCAACCTACAGTTTCCCACTTTATGTTTCATTATTCTCTATTAGGTATCCTATGCTCTAACCACTGTTCATCATTCCTACAAACAGTTCTATTCTATATGTTTCTGCTCTGAAGCATATTCTCTTTCCCATAACCCACACCTTTATTCTTTAACCTCATCTCCACAGCCAATTATAAATGAATTTTATTTTATTTTTTCTTTTACTTCCCAAATAATCAGCAATGAGCTGATATTACTTGTATAATTGTCAAGTGTGATTTTTTTCAAGTTGATTAACAAAATCTGTAGGAAGACTCCATATTGGTACCCTCCTCGATATACTTTCCTCCTTGATGTGCTAGACCCTCCCAGTAGGGTCTAGCACAAAGAATAATGCAAGAATGAGTAAATGAGGTACTTTATGGTGGTTAAGAGCATAGATTTTCTAGTGCCAGCAAGGTGCCCCTCTAGTAGATCATTTCCCAAAGATGCCTTTCTCAGTGACCAGTAGAATTTTCCAACATCCTTACACTTGAGATGCCTGAATCACCTTATTTTATCCTACCTTCACTTTCTAATTTCTCTATACCTTGCAGTTAGATTCACTCTACCACTTTTTCTTTATTCATCTTCTCAGTTTCCCCAAAGCTCCTCCAAATAGTACCCTTTACTTACAACAGCCTTTTTATTGGTGATAGAAAAAATAGTTCAGGGAAAGAATGCTAATCCTGGGAGACAAGTAAGCAAATAAAGAGCTATCTAGACAAAAGGAAGATTTTGGATAGGAAATAAACTGCTCCTGAAACTAAGAATGATCCTAGAAAGAGGCTGGAAATCTCAGGAATTATGGTCTCAATAGTGACATTGGAGTGACAAAAGGAAGGCCAGGTAATGAACTCAATAAGGTTCAACTTAAATTTCAAAGCCATTTGACTAAAGAAGATGAATAGGGACCTTGAGTTTCTCTACAATCTTCTCCTTGTGAACATAAGAAACGTCTAACCTGTAGAGAATTTTATTAATTTATTTGATGGCTCATGACAGTGCCCGAAAGTAAGATCTCAAATGCTCTAAAGAATGATAGTTTCGCAGTTTCTTTTATACATTTGTTATAAAGGAGAGAACATAAGGAAGATTACATGAGGATGGGAGAAAGCAAAGTAGGGATTAAACTACAGGATAATTAACAAGATTAAGTGCCCACTTGAGGGTGGTTATACCTACAAGGGGTCTGGAAAGGAGGCATTTCAGGGTGTATTAACCTAGATGCACAAAAACAATGGACAGGTCTTGCTTAAGGCAAAGATAAATCTTTTACTGAAGAAATTACTACGTACTATGACCTGCCTTGTTAGGAATTTATGATCAGGTTACCCTGTGAGGTTACTTTTTGGTCAATGTACTTGCCAGATTTATTACAGAGCCCCTTTTTCATCTACATCCCTCTAGAAGATGAGGCTGTCTCCAACTTCATGAAGATAGAAGCCTTCAGATGGAAACTCTCTCAACTACCTGCCATCAAATCTATTAATTCCTGTGTCCATACCAATCCTCTCCTCCTTCCAGTTAGATGAAGGTGATGTTCTCTCTCTTGTACAAAGGTAGTTCTGTCATACGTTCTTTCATATACTGTCTTCATCTTGCATCTTCAACTTCTTTCTCTACTGGAGTCTTCGCAATAATATTCAAGCATGCTTGATATCCTCTTGACTCTATGTCACTTTTCAGCTATAAATACTTACTAATCAATCTTGAAACTCCAGTATACCATATACCAATATACCATAACTGATATCACCAAATCAATAACCTTCTTGTTGCTATATTTAATGAAAATTTTTTACCCTAAACTCAATTTCCCACTTAGTAATATTTGTCACTGATTGGTTTCTTTTTTTCTTGAAATCCTTTTGTATCCAAAATAGCACTACTACCACTTTGGCCATTCCTTCTTTGTCTCATTTGTGGGCTTTTCCTCTTTGTCTGTCTTTTAAATGCTGGTATTCTTTGGGTTCTATCCTAGCCCTCTTTTTACCTTATTCATACTATCTCTTAGTTATTTTAACTATTTTCATGGCTTAATTTCTATCCATATACTAATAGCTCCAAATCTTTATCTGGAGCTATTTCTTCTGAGTTCTAGACCTGTATTTCCTAATAACTGCTTGATACTGTAATTATATGTTTCAAGAATATCTAAAATATAACATGTCCAAACTAAATTAATTGGTATTGCTCCAAACCTGTTCTCTCTCATTATCTCAGTTAATGATCTCACTATCTACCCAGTTGGTCAAATCACAATCCAACATCCAACTTTGACTTATGTTCTCTCTCACTTCATATATCTAATCATTTCAAGTTTTGTCAGTCTACCAGGACCAGAACAAGGTGAGTTGAGTGAGGCACTCACCTTGAACATAAAATTTAAGACCAGTAATCAAATAAATGTATCCTTGACTCATCCTTAACTCATTCTTTCTCCACATTGGTCAGAAACACCACTGAAAAATAAAAACCTAATAATTCCTCAGCTCAAAATCCTTTTATAGCTCTCTACTGTCCTCCTGATAAAGTTCTAATTCCTTAATTACTTAAAAGGAACTTTATTATCTGATTTATGTCAATTTCTCTTGTTTATTTTTCTCATTTATGCTCCAGGCAATCTGAATTCTTTTAAGGCTTTTGAATATGTCATATTTCCTCTCACCTCTTTGTCTTACAGATACCATGTCTTATTTCTGTTTCACTTCTAACCTCTTCTTTGATTAATTGCTGTTAATCTTTTAGTTTTTAGATATCTTTCTTTAGACAAATCTTTTTTCACCTTCAAAGTTTTAGTCATTCATCCCTACTTACCTACTATGTGTTCTGATAGCTTTCTCTGTACATATCCAGTTGTGACACTAATCATAGTATATTGTAAATTTCTGTTTACTTATCTGTCTCCCTCTTCCTGCTGGACTATATTAGTTTTTTGAAAGCATAAACTCATGAATGGACCTTGAGATAATCATGCTAAGTGAAATAAGCCAGACAGAAAAAGTTGAAAACCACATGATATCACTTATATGTGGAATATAAACATAAAAGCAACAAAAGAACAAGACAAAGAAACAGACTCATGGACATGGACAATAGACTAGTGGTTACCAGAGAGTAGCGGGGAGGTAGATGGGGTAAAAGGGTTAAATATGTGGTGACAGAAAGAAATCTAACTATGGGCAGTGAATACACAATGCAATATATATGTGTATATATATGTATAAGCCATACTGCTAAGTTGTACACCTGAAACTTACTAGATTTTGTTAACTAATGTCACTATAAGAAAAAAAGAAAGCACAAACTCTGTGGCTATCTCATGTACCACTGTAAGCCCAACCTAGCACAGAATCTGACACATAATAGGTACATTAAATAAATGTTTGTTGAATAGCTGAATAAAAAATAAATGAATAAATTAAATTACAGTGAAAGCTGAGAGGACTGACTTATTAGTACCAAGAACACAGAAGCAGATGACTAATAATGACAGCTAACATGTTTCATATTTCATAATTTATAAAACATTTCACTTGCAGCATCTCTTTTGATCTTCATAATTACTCTGATATGTAAACATTAATATTGTACAATTATCCAGAGAAAGAGACATAGTACTAATCACTGGAAAACCAGGAAAATACTTGGAAAAATGTTTGGCTTCGAAAGGAGAAGGAAACAGGGACTGTATTATCACAGCTTTCCTGGAATAATCCATAAACTTCCTTGGAATTGGAATTGGAATCTGAGTATTACTACTAGCCACACCCCTGGTAGAAAGTAATCAGACTGCACATTGAGTCTCTGGGCTCTTTTCCCTCCATTGAGCTCTTTGGTGTTTGGATTGGACATCTTCCAAGGGGGTGTCACCCAAAGACTCAGAGTGAGAATAGGTTTCCAGGTCAATGATTAGAAACAACTATGTCCAAGTTTCTCCTTAGACTGCATAAACTCAGTAACCCACACGTCCCTTTTCTTCTTCTATTACTGAGTTCTCAGTAGTGGAGAATGCCACTTGATCTAAGTTGCATGAATTTCCCCTTACTTACTCAACTCCTCTTATACTCTTTGCTCAAAAGTAAATTTCTTTGGAGCACTGCAGAACAAGGCGGAAAAAGCTAAAACTGGAAGCTACTTTAAAAGGCATAAAGAATTAAAAATGTCTTCCAATTACCAGATAAATAACAGACGAAATAAGCTAGTTTGACAGAAAGGATTAATTACCTTCCTTGCTTCCTCATATATTATAGTGTGGATCTCAATCCTGACTACACATTAGAATCACCTAGATATTTATAAAGTTATGGATACCCAGGCCCTATCCCACAGATAAACTGATTTAATTAGTCCTACATTGGGCCCAGGGATCGGTCTTTCTTAAAGCTCTCCAGGAATCTTATAAGCTGTGTAACCTTGAGCTCTTTTTAAAAAAAGGTTTCTGACTTCATTCATTTATTTTATTTCCAATGTTTGTGGAAAATCCCTACAGTAACACCTACCAAAAAGGGTGTGAAGACTGAATAAAATAGATTGCGTAAAGTGCTAACATGATGCTTTATACGTGACAGGCATTGACGATTATTAGTTTTCTCTGCCCCACTGCACTTACCAAGAGCTATTACCATAAGCAATCCTGGAACTCCAAAAGCCAATGCATAGCAATCTTCCCCAAAACACTGTACACCTCCTAAAGAAATAAAAAAGTAACCCTGAATCTTGAGTCTTTGAAGTTCTATTCTGCAAGCTCAGGTTTTTGAGGTTGTAAACATAGATGCCTTCTTTCCACCCATCACCTAATCCATAATCTTTCATTTAGGCCAGACAAATTAAGATTGAAAGAAATTCTCTCAGATTTTAAGCCCTCATAAAAGAAGAAGATGGAGAGCAGAAAGTCTTGAACAGATTTTTGGCTGGCCAGAGTAAAGTCTTACACAAAGTCCCTCAGAAAAGATTCTAACCTCTCAGCATGGGTGTGATAAACATAGAAATCAAGCTTCCTGCATTGATGGAGAGGTAGAAGGCTGAGAAGTATCTAGTCCGTTCCTCTTCCTGAAACAAACAAGACAAATCATCAGTTCAATGTGCCTTTTAGCTCCACCCTCCACCCTATGTTCAGATTCAGCTGGAGGTATGTATATATACAGAGACAGATTTAGATGTTGCCTCCATGGTGTCCGAATATGATATTAGATATTTTAAAACATAAATATCTGGCTGACCCTAGACAAACATCTGCCCATATTTCAAATCTCAGTACAAGCATCTTTAACATTCTTTGACTCCTTTACCTGGGCAGAAATGATTATCATGTATAACATACCACTACTGTGTCCTATATGTATCTACCCTAATATTAATTTCTGTGCATTAAATGCCTGTTTCTTTCAGTAGGTCATGAGTTGCTTTAGGGCAGAAATCATAGCTCACTCATTTCTGTAATCCCTACTACCTAGCATAGCACCTGCAAATATTATAGACTCAACAAATGTTTAATGACTGAGTTAAGTGAACGAATGAGTTAAATAACAGATTTTGTGGAATGTGTGGTAGAAATAGGATTAAAACATAGGACAGTGGTGTAAACTGTTGATTAAGAAGGGTAATTCACCTAGTGCTTATGGGAATTCTGCCAGAAAATATTAAAGAATGTCCATGGCTGATGGAAACCTGGAGGTGGGATTGTCCTATTATTGAATATCTTTTTGGAGCAGTTACCAAATGAAGCAGCTTTCAAATAAAGTTCCTAATGCTGCCTCATTCTTACACATTAGCACAATCTGTCCTTCCTTATTTTCTATTATGGTATGTTTCATTTCCTCTTCTGGTCTCCATTTAAACATTATTCCACTTCATCTATTTGTATAGTTAATTATGCAGAGAATCTCATTTGCCAAAGTTTAATTATTTCTCTAAATTCAGGAAGCAATTATAATCTATGGCCCCTTCAGACAGATAAGGAATATAAAATGTAACGAAAATGTTCTAAAGGGTAAGATTCCATTTGAGTTATGACCACAGGAAGACAGGACACAGAGAGAACAGAGAGAGAATACCTAGAAGCATGATAAATAGCTATAGATGAAAGGATAGGTATATGAAGACAGACAAAAAAAGAACACTGAGAGCAAAAGAGAGGAAGCTAGAAATGTTGGTTGACAAAAGAATAAACTATTTCCCTTGCCTATTCGTAACTGCTTCCTCATACAGGCCCATTTTCACTTTATTCATACCGGTTTTTTTCCCCATTGACAATGCAAAGTATTTAGGAAAAGAGGGGATGATCATGTAGACAAGTTCATCTATAGAAACTCATTCTGTTTTATTCCAAATGGTCATTTTCTCCTTTCACGGAATCTCAAAGCTAGAGATGCTAAATCATCTCTACACCATTCATCCTCTCCTATTCCCAAAGTGCTTACTACATTTCTTCTTAAATACCTCAAATGAGAGTGAACTCACTACTTCAAACTCTATTTGAAGTTTTTCCTTCTGTCAAGCAAAATACTAGTTTCCTATGGCTTTCACTCATTCGGTCTCAGGTTTAATTATCTGTCCAATATCTATAGAGAGCTATGATATTCTCTTTCATTCTTATCTTATCTAGAATAAATCTCCATTTCGCTCAACCTTTCTTCGCTCAACCTTTCATAAGATATGTCTTTTAGTCCAACCACCACCGTGGTCACTTTCCTTTGAATGTACTCCAGTTTCTCTTTCTGTTAACAACCAGTACCCAGAATGGAACATAACTCCTTAGATATCATCTTACCATTGAATTACTTTAATCTTGGCAAACGGCTACCGCTCAGGCACCTTTTCTAAAGCCTGTTCTACATTTTTGAAAATACAGGAATAACAGGACTCACATGTTTTTGTTCAAACTGGTCTCCACCAAAAGCTGCCACACAGGGTTTGATACCTCCTGTCCCCAAAGCTATTAGACTCAGGCCAATCAACGACAGGACTCTGAAATGGAGAGGTGAGGATACTAACCATATTGATATTAAAAACAACAGTAGAAATTGAATATAGAGCTATAGGAATTTAAAAAAGTATACAAGGGCAAAGATCTCCTTTACATTTCTAATCTGTGGGCACTTTTCATCTGCCTTCACTGATAAAGAAGACTTGGTAGCACTTGTGATCTTTACAACTCTGAGCCACTGCCAGAAAGTAATTATTACATGGGAAAATTTTGTCCCTGGTATTTCCATTTACCCCTTGTGTACAACAGACAGAAGCAGATACTGAAGGAACTTTAAAATTAAAGCTCTGGTTCTCCATGTTGTCTTAGTCAAAGGGACACTTCAATAGAAAGATCTTCTGAACTCTTACAACACATATCCTCACTAACCAGAAAACAAAATGTTAAAATTTATCATAATTAGTAGAAGTATCACTAATTTTTGATGGGACATCAATAAGGAGGTATCTAATATTTATTAAATTTCAAACAAAATTCTTAACTCATTGGATAAATACATGTAATAGGCACATTATAAACACAAATACATATGACCTGCTTCTTGAACAACTGTAATCCTCTATATGAACTGAACCAATAGACAACAAAATTTATCAAATGTTTCTTGCACTGTAAACATCAATAGCTTTAAAAATGGATAAAGCAATCGGAATATGTGGAACTACATATAAACAGAAATAATTCAAGCTTTGAATATGACTTCTACAATGTCCTATAAGGAAATATTAACAGACTGTTTTTTTTAACCCTGGTAAAGTATAGATGCATGGTTAGGTGATTAGGTGAGAGAATATGGAGGGCATAAAGGTTTTAATGATTTTCTTCAAGCATATGATGAGTTTTTATGAAGGAGATACTAACTAGGTATTTTACAAGTCCACAAATGCTTAATAAATACAAATGAACTCAGATAAAGTAGGGAAGAGTTCAGTTGGTTATAAAATGATTTTTTGTCTTAACCAATTTAGTAATAAAACAGAAAGGTGGAAAATAAAAGGACACCTCTGATTAAAAAAAAAAATGTGTAACGAATGTGTGAAACATTTACCTAATGAAAGAAAAGTGGTTCGGTTTATTCCATGATTTTACTCACGTGTGCACCATGTGTCCCCCCAGTATTGGTAAGGCACCCAAGGACTTGATCACATGGCCCAGCACATACACCAAAGAAAGATAGATAATTGTCCTGTTGAGAGAGTTACATCAGTCAGTCTACAAACAGAATTCGGAAATTTGAATAATATAGACCCAGAGTTCATACTGTTCTTAGTGCCAGGATAAATAAAGCAGGAGGAGGAAGTAGTAGAGGAGGAAAAAGTTACCTGAAATATGCAAGTAGAAATAACATGGTCAATGACGTAAACAGACTAGGAAAAGAAAGAGAGGGGAACTCTGTATCCTGTAGTGTTAGAGATAATGGGCATTCCCTTCAAGTTCCTTTCTCATACCTGACCTCTCTTCCCCTTCTCATTCCACACACACACAAAGCATCCCTGCTCTAGTACATATATACCAAGACCAAGATAAATCTGTAGTGAGTGATGATGTGTTAAAGTAAGAGAACCAGAAGAACAGGATACTTTGAGATGTTTTTCTCAAGGAATGTCTTTGGTTCTAAAAATTGATAGGAGTCAAGGAAGAACTCCAATTAAAGAGGAAAAAGAAACGGCCAACACAAAGAACTTTCTTTAAACCCTACCACTGAGATATATGGAGAGGTAAAGGGCTCTTAGGTTTAGCCCGGTCACTTGAATACCTGGGTTAATTGTTATCCCTGCCACAGTTTCCTCATAGACAAGTTACCAAGGGTAAGGAAGGAGCCAGGGACTTTCAATAGACTGTCTATGATAAAGATCATGCAGCTGGTAGGGACTTCCTGGTGGTTGTTTTTCCAAAAAATCTGAATGGCAAATAGAAAGTAGAAGAGTGAAAATTTCCAGTAAGAACATATGTAGAAATATACACATTGAAATATGGCACACTACCACATGTACAATATACTCCTCATGTATATTACCACACTAGCATTCTCTTTGTATATAAGTAGAATGTTAGTACTAGAAGGAACCTTGGATATTATACATTTTATATCTGTGATTTTAAAGTGTTATATACCAATGTGCACTATAAAGAATTGAATGAAGTTATCAAAGAGAGGCTGGAGACACCAGAAATTTTAGGTTGTGGATTTCTCTTCTAAATGCCTAATCTTCCTAGGCTAGCTCTCCAGGGAAGGAATCTTAGGTTTATAATGACAAGTGGGGGATAAGAAGTTGGGTGACTAATCTAGGGTTACTTAATATCAGAAGGAGGGGACAGGCTTTTGCAAAAGATTTTGTAATCTTCTAGAGGAAAGTTATCTTTGTTGGAATAAAAAGAATAAATAGAAAGAAAAGGAATGAAAAGAGACTGAAAAAAGGCCAGCTCTCATGAACCCAAAAGAGATGATCTACACTAAATCATCAGAAAAATCAAAAGGAGTCTGAGCTGAAGTAACAGAATCTGAGTAGGGAGATCAGAGCATTATCAGATTATTGGACAAAATGAATGAGAGAAGTGTAAGTGGCTTAGAGCTGGGGTCCCCAACCCCTGGGCTGCAGGCTGCACAACAGGAGATGAGTGGCTGGCAAGCGAGCAAAGCTTCATCTGTATTTGCAGCCACTCCCCAGCACTAGCATCACCTCAGCTCCACCTCAGTTCATCAGGCATTAGATTCTCATAGGAACACTGGTCTCTGGTGCCAAAAAGGTTGGGGGGCTGCTAGTAGAGGAAAATAGGCAGCCTTCTAGGTGGTAGACTCAGGGAATTAATCTAGGTTATGAAGAATATAAGAGAGGATGCTACCGACAGGCAACTTAAACAAAAGGAGAAAGAAGTTAACAGGCTTGGAAATTCCACATTTGAAGTGGGATCATTGGGGTCTTTGTAATTCCAATCATTTGACACATAACTGTTTTAGATAGACTTGACCAATCTTTCATTTGCAAATGGAGAAAGTGAAATTCAGACACTTTAAAGGACATTCATAAAGTGATGTTCCATTTAGTATTCATTGGGGTTAGGTTAGAACTTCTGCTTTCTAACTCATAGTCTGGTGTTCCTTCAGTTTTATCATGAACAAGTTAATGTGGAAAAAGAAAAGGGAAGAGGAAGAACTTTTAAATTTTATCTCATCACCAGAGCTATTTTTAAGTAGAGCTTAGGAGCTGAGAAGTAAGGTACAGTGATGGCAGAGGAAGAGACCTATCATGAAGAGAGTTAGCTCTGATAAGACAAAAATGATAGGAGGAGCTTACTCAGAGAAAGAGAAAAGAGAAGTGTAGAGAGATATCCAGAAGCATATTTGGCAATAAATACATTTAAGAGAATGGTTGTAGTGACTGTCAAGGTGAGTCCAGACTGATAGCCATGGGTCACAGTTCATAAAAACCAACACTAGAGATAAAAGTCATCTTCATGCCTGCCTACACTTATTCTCAGTCTTGTACCTACATCTGAATATCTGAGGGTGAATAAATTTATTCATTGAAATATTTATCAGGCACTCTTCTAGGTGTTGTGATTAAAAATATAAAGGAGGTTTTGTTCTCTAATAAGTATTTGGAAGAAGATATTAGATTTATACACGAATAATTATGACAAGATAGAGTTTGGTAAATGTCATATGAGGGTAAAAAAATAAAGAGTTCACAGGAGAGTTACTACATAGCATAGGTGGCATTTGAACTGAGCCTTATTGGGTTAGGACAATGAAGAATAGGGGGAATGAGATTCCATGAAATAGAAACAGTGCAAGCAGAAAAAGATATACTGGCCATTGTGAGGGAAATATTAGTAATATTCTATTTTTCTCTAGTAATCATTCTTGAAAGGGAGTAAGTATGACAATAGGAGCAGAAAGGTCAGTTGAGATGACATTAGTGGACAATGGGTTAGACAGCAGAAAATTTTGAGCAGAGTAGTAATGTGAACAAAAATTTCTGTTAGGAAGATTAATTTGACATTAGTGTAGAGGTTCAATTATAAGAAAAGGATGTGGGAAGCAATGATAACATTTTAGGTATCCATTTCAATAGCCCAATTTAGAGGTAATGAAGACCAAAACTAGAGTAGTGGCAAGTAATGGTAGTGAGTTTCACTGTTGAAGAGGGCTAAATGTGAGAGATATTATAGAAATAGAATCGGTAGAATTTGATAACTGATTGAATGTGGGGGTATAGAGAAGCTAGAAGAAAGAACAAGTTTAGGAAATGAAGATAAAGTGAAATATCCAGGAGATGAATGTCAATACGCAATTATAATGCGTAATAGAACCTGAATGACAGGTTAGGATTACATAGTTTGAAGAGCTATCTGCAATAACTAATGTTGACAACATAGGGTTTGCTAAAAGAGAATCTGGAAAAGAGAAAAGAGTAAAAAATAAACCCTAGGGAAATGACTACATTCAGAAAACAGTGAAGTAAATAAAAGGCAAAAGAGAAGCCAAATAAGGAAGAATCTAAAAAAGTATGAGGAAGAGAACTAGAAAACACAGTGTTAAAGAAGCACAGGGAAGTTTCAAGAATATAGGAATGATAAATAAACTGTAATGTAAAAACAAGTTCAAAGTGAGTAATAATTATTAGAAAAGACCCCTGGAATTTGTTAACAAAGAGATCGCTGTCAATGATCTTAGAGAGAGGAATTTCAATAGGATAAAGAGATGATTTATGCTATATTTTATTGTACTTACCACAATCTGCTCTGCATTAAAGCTAGTTGAACATGAATAATGTGAAGCAGGTATTTATTTCTTATTCATCTCTTTATCCCCTATGTTTCTTCAAATAGAAGATATTTGGTTAACATTTATTGAATTAACCTGATCAGATTAAATTGAATTTAATTGGATTCAGTTGCAATACATTATATTACTCTACCTGAAGGAATAATAATGAATGAGAAAGAAAGACAACATACAGATGATTCTTTTTAAAATTTGGAGATAATTGTAATAAGACAAAGAAGACAGGAAAAGGAGGATTAACAGTTTGTTTAAAGCTATCAGAAATTTGTTCCTGCTTCTAGGTAGAGAAAATGACTATCTCTGAGGGAGAATTTGAAGGCAAGAGAGGGGACTATTGACAGTACAAAAACCCTAGGGAGAGAGATCTAGATAAATGCGTTACATATGTTAAAATTCATCAAACTGTATATTTAAGATTTTTGGATTTGTGTACTTTAAATAAACCTCAAGAAAAAAATAAAATTAAAAAATTAAAGAATACTTCAAAAAGGCTCATGATTAAGGGCATAACTGGAGGTTGTTAAATGTTCCTGAAATAGGTCGGAAGCTATTGTTCACCAAATCTCAGAGCTATATGTCTTCAATTTTAAAGGAAGTCATTTAAAGAATAAAGTACAAGTCATGTATATAAGTCTTTTATTCTATAACTGAATAGAGACCACGGCTTATACTGTTTATTCTGCAAATAGTACCAACCCTATCTGGATGGACTTGGTAACTAATATTACACAAGAAGCAAACATAGATCTTGCCCACCATCTCTCTTCTCTCAAGTCAAAATGTGTTTAGTACTATGTTGTGGTTGTAGCTACAGAGAAGGTGCTGATTAAACACTTTAGAACAATGAATATATTAAGGCCAAAGTGAGTTATAAACCAGTTTTTACTAAAGAGGATTCCTTGAAACACTAGGTCTACAAGATACTCTGAAATAATATTCCATGATCAAACAAGTTTGGGAAACACTATGTGCCCTAACCTTTTCTTCAAGATTTTGCAATGCATATTAGCATGTTAAAAGCTACAAGGAGTCATGCAGTAAAGAAACATTTTTAGCTTCGTTCAGCCTAGCATTTCTAAACTTATTTTGACCATGAAATCTTTAACTTCTTACATATTGTCACTCATTATGTCCTATGTAACTGATTTTCAACAGAATGTACTTTGAGAAATGCTGATTTAGACAAATCCCTAGATGACAAGTCCATAGAAAATAACTGGGTGACGGATATCTAAGATCCATTTTTAGCCTATGAGAATAATGTTACAGGGGACAACTATAACATTATCCTATAATTTTCTCTTGGTGCTATTTTCAGGGACTCAAAAGATACTGAACTGAAAAGACGATTAGTCTAACTCATAAAACTATATTCTTAAGAAGGAAACTGCATAAAGAGTTTAGAGAAAAGAAAAAGAGGGTAAAAGAGCTGAAAAGAGGGACCCATAAGAAGATACTAAAGGAGTTGGAATGATTTAATATGGAGAATAGATCAAATAAGGACATTGAAGTCTCTAAAATTATAAATTTTCTGGTAAGTAGCAATCTTTATTGCTACTGAGATTAAAACAAGAATTGGTCTAAACTATAGAATAGAAGATTAAAATTAGATTTAAGAAAAACAAAGCAACTCCTTACTGAAAAAGATGTAAAAAATATTGGAAAAACTAATAATGAAGAGATATAGCTTTTCTGTGTTGTCAGTCTTAGAGAGATTCTTATTTGTCATGGATGACATATGTTCTTGCTTGGAAGAAGAGGCTAGAACTGATAACCTCTGCACAATTAATCTGTGAAGCTTCTGGGGACGTGATCTTCCATCTTCCTTACTTGAATTTTCCCAGCCATGAGTCAGCAATGGCTGCTCCCAGGATGGGAGTGAAATAACAGAGGCTGGTGAAGGCATGGTATACAGATGTGGAGGTGTCTTCGTTCCAGTGCAGGAAATACAGGAAATACAGGGTTAGCACAGCTGAGGCAAAAAAAAAAAAGAGAGAGAGAGAGAGGAAAAATAAGACACAATTAAAGTGACTTAGGGAAGAAGTGCGTTTGATTTCTGGTCTTTGAAGCTGATTTCGACCTTCGATACTTCTATCACTGAAGTGACTGAGCGGTGACTGCCAGTAGAAGCAGGGCCCATAGAAGTTGTGAATGGAATGATGCTTATGTTGTGATGCTTATATTGTGAATGGGGTGTGTACAAATACAATACTCCTCCTTTCAGTCTATGTGCACACATAGTATCGCTTAGGCCAATCACAAAGATAACATGGTGCTTCTTCCAAAATCCCTTCCTTCTCCTTCCCAGCAACAATCCAATTCAAAGAAATGAGGAACAGATATGAATACTGGAACTCAGATGATGAGTGTTTTTCCACTTATATTCTCACAGCCTGTGTTCTGGTTTCTATTAGGCCTTTTTGTTCTTCGCCTGTATGAATTACTAGGTGAAACCCCATGAGGCATTTATTGGCAGCCCTGGCCAAAGGAAAAGACCAATTTGGATGAAGTCAGAAAGAATGGATAAGGGAAAGAAGTGCATACAAGAAGACCAGATGTTACAAACATGGGGTGCAAATGAGTGAAGAGCAAGACTTTGAGACACAAAATTACCTTTCATGCCATAATAGGAAAAGCGCTCACAGAATTCATTCACCACAATGAAGGCAATGCTCAGGGGATAGTTCGAGCCACAGATTTTCTATGAAACAGAAAGACAATGGTTCAACCAGGAGCTCCATCCCCTCTCCCAATTTAAACTACTAGACTATTCCACAACAGAAAAAATCATTTATTTTAAATCACCACGATAGGTAATGTGAAGCAACGCTATCTACTCTTCATGAAACAGCTATTATCATACTTAAAATGCTTGCATTGCTGATTTAGGAGTGATAGAAGATATTCTGAATATTACTTTGTTCCTCATTCATTTAACATGGCACTGCTCAGACATTTCTTGATCTTAGACACAAGACCTGCTTATCTTCCCACAACTACTAACTGAAAAGCCTGAGGCTCTGGGCAGAATAATCATACTTATTTCTAGGAACAGAAGAAAGGGGTGACCTATGGAGCACTTGATGTCCAATCAGTTACATTCATATGTCAGTAACCTGCTTAGCTCCACTGTGAGCACTAACCTCTCTTGTCCCCACCTGCTCTTTTCACCATGCTGAGAGGAATCCTGGTAATATGATGGCTTCTCATTAAGAGGCTGCTGGAGCCAGGCTAACAGCCCAATAGAGATTCCTAGAGGTAAGCTGATTGATCACCTTGACCTTGGGCAGAGAGTTCTTAAATCTTATAAAATTAATGTCCATTCTTCCCCATGAAGGATATTCAATAACATTTTCTTCTTAATGCTATTGGACATTAAAAGGACTATGTTATTTCATGCACTATATCAGTCAGAATATAAGGAATGTCATGTTTTATTTCAAATCCTGACTCATTATGATAGCTCAACATGAGAGGGGGAATGAAGATATCTGTCCTTGGGAGAGTTATATCTTATCATGAGATTTATATTGCCTCTTATTTCATAAGAAATTTACGTATCTTTGTAAGCAGCCTTAAATATTTTTGGACTAGAAAGATATAACTAAATAAGGTAATAAATTTAATGTTTTCATTCTTTTACCCATATGAAATAGAATAGATATAAATGACTCTCCTAAATATTAATAAATGTTAATGTATGATGGTAACTCACTTGAAAGACAATGAACTGACTTCTCACCTTTCAAGCTCAGCTTGAGAATTATATAATCTGAAATTTACCAGCATACTTTCACTAGCTACGTATCACTGTCACCAGCTGTGTTAACACACTGACCCTGGCCATGTCATTACACCTGTCTTTTTATTTCAGTTCTGTTACTGCAAAGAAATAAGAATACTATCACCTTGGCCCATATTAAGAACTCAGTAAATAGTCGCTATTATTACTATAATTTTCTCCACTACAGGACTTTAATGTGAGAATTGAATGAGATAATAAATTTAGGAGTGTATAATGTCTATAATTCAAAACATTATTATTACTTCTTTGTTTCTCTGTCCTGTTTCCCACTGTAAACTGGAACACATAGTAAGAAAGACTAGATTTATTCTAAACCTCCTGTTGGTGTCCAGCATAAGACTCTGCATGCAGGAGGAACTCAGGGCTGAATTTTTATATTGGTAAAGAAAGAACAATCACACACAGTTCTCTAGACAGGAGTGCTTGCCAAGTTTCCCTGGACATTCAAACTGCTTTTTTTCCCCCTTCACCCAGGGAAACTCAGAATATACAAAGAAATGCAGCAAAGTTCTGGATCCCAAGTGAAGAACTTTGACAACCTCTTGCTGCTGCTTTCTCTCCTAAGTAAAGCAAGCTTCTTTTTAGATTTGGTTTTCAGGTTAATTTTAACTCCAAGAAAGAATAGTTTTTAATAACCTAATACAGCTCAGCAGAAGAGACCAAAGCAGAGAAGCAAAAGAGTGAGTCTGTTCCTATTGGAGATAAAAGTGAATCTGGAGACTTACCGGAGTTGGCTTCTTTGGAAGGCTAGGGGGTCGAGGTGGTACCTCTTCAGTGGAGACAGGTGAAAAAGAAGTTTCCTTGGACTCGTTTTTCTGGAAAGGATTCATAGCTGGCTCCTTTCTCTCTCCTCAAGCATTTGGCTTCGGTAGGCACTTGGGACAGCTGCCAGCCTACAGTGAAAAGGGGGATTGGGAGGGGAAGGGGGGTGGCTTCAGCAACTAGGTTTAACCCTATGGGTGTTGCCTTCGGCAGCTGCCTAGCCCAGAGCAAAGCACAAAGCCATAGGAAAAGAAAGAGTTGGGTCACAGAGACTAATTCAAAAGAATAATTAAGTAAAGGTAAAGCATAGGGAAGTAAGAACAACAGATCACAAGATGGGGTAAGATAATGCTGTAGAACTGCAAAAGAATGCAGAATAGTTAAGACTACAATCCCTCAGCATAGATTTAAACATTGATTTTAGGATAAAATTGCTGCCATTTACTGAACACCTATAATGAATTACATATATATTATCTATCTACCTATTCTAATTCTTATTACTACCCCCATTTTATAGGAATGAAAGTCCCAAAAGGCTAAGTAATTTGTCCAAAATCATGTGGCCAGTAGGTGGCAGATAAGAAAGATCAGTATTAGTAAATCCAAACGCTTTGAAGAAGGACAGTCAACACAAAACTGAAGACAGAGAAAATGCTGATTTTGGTTTCCAACATAATAAAGTTCAATTAGAAATATCTTATAAGCAATTAAAAAGGTGGGGCTAAAGAAAATCAGACAGAAGGATTGGTGATGTACATTTGGGAATCATTCTTCTTCGCTAAATTTGTGCCCTGTGTTATCACTTTAGGTTAAATCCATCATTTCTTTAATAAATAAAGTGAAGAACTTTGACAACCTCTTGCTGCTGCTTTCTCTCCTAAGTAAAGCAAGCTTCTTTTTAGATTTGGTTTTCAGGTTAATTTTAACTCCAAGAAAGAATAGTTTTTAATAACCTAATACAGCTCAGCAGAAGAGACCAAAGCAGAGAAGCAAAAGAGTGAGTCTGTTCCTATTGGAGATAAAAGTGAATCTGGAGACTTACCGGAGTTGGCTTCTTTGGAAGGCTAGGGGGTCGAGGTGGTACCTCTTCAGTGGAGACAGGTGAAAAAGAAGTTTCCTTGGACTCGTTTTTCTGGAAAGGATTCATAGCTGGCTCCTTTCTCTCTCCTCAAGCATTTGGCTTCGGTAGGCACTTGGGACAGCTGCCAGCCTACAGTGAAAAGGGGGATTGGGAGGGGAAGGGGGGTGGCTTCAGCAACTAGGTTTAACCCTATGGGTGTTGCCTTCGGCAGCTGCCTAGCCCAGAGCAAAGCACAAAGCCATAGGAAAAGAAAGAGTTGGGTCACAGAGACTAATTCAAAAGAATAATTAAGTAAAGGTAAAGCATAGGGAAGTAAGAACAACAGATCACAAGATGGGGTAAGATAATGCTGTAGAACTGCAAAAGAATGCAGAATAGTTAAGACTACAATCCCTCAGCATAGATTTAAACATTGATTTTAGGATAAAATTGCTGCCATTTACTGAACACCTATAATGAATTACATATATATTATCTATCTACCTATTCTAATTCTTATTACTACCCCCATTTTATAGGAATGAAAGTCCCAAAAGGCTAAGTAATTTGTCCAAAATCATGTGGCCAGTAGGTGGCAGATAAGAAAGATCAGTATTAGTAAATCCAAACGCTTTGAAGAAGGACAGTCAACACAAAACTGAAGACAGAGAAAATGCTGATTTTGGTTTCCAACATAATAAAGTTCAATTAGAAATATAAGCAATTAAAAAGGTGGGGCTAAAGAAAATCAGACAGAAGGATTGGTGATGTACATTTGGGAATCATTCTTCTTCGCTAAATTTGTGCCCTGTGTTATCACTTTAGGTTAAATCCATCATTTCTTTAATAAATAAAATTTAATTTTAGCAAAACTTATGAACCAATTACTTTCTGGGCACTACTGCAAAAAAAAATTTTGTATTTCAGTGGATGGACTCTCAAATGACTCTAGAATATATTTAGCCCTTATCAGAAGAGGAACAAGAACAAGTATGATGATGATAGATACATTTTATACAGTATTATTTTTGCTAAGTCAAAGAGTTTTGTAAAAGAACAAAAGAGTGGGATGTTTGTCTAGATGTCAGTCAAAAGAAAACAAAAGAATGGTCAGAGAGCTATAAGAAAAAAGAAAACCAACAAGAAGGTCAGCAAACAGGAAAATGAATTTTGTTTTTGAGAATATGGGAAACTATGACTCTATCCCTAACAAAATTCTTTCACTACCCATTTGAGTAATATATTGACATATTAAACCAGGAAAAGTCTACCCTTTCCTCCCTAAACTCTACTTCAGACTTTGACCATGTCTTCTCAGTTTTGATTATACGCATCCCCCTTCTCTCCCACCAACATTTACCCAAAAAGTCCAGCTTTTTTTCTGACAGTGGCGTTAATAATTAAGCTGTAGTTATTCTTTCAGGAAGTATTGCCCTTTCTGGTTTGGTTAATGACTCTGCATGCAAAACAAATCAACAGTCAGAAGTTATCAGTCAAGTTAACCACTAGAGGCACAGATGTCTTGAAGATCTAATTATGTCAATGGCTCTCCCAGCTCTAGCCTTGTACCTAGAATGGCATTTGATCTGGTAGAGCAGATGAAACAGCACCTATATGCGATGAACCAATTCGTTTGTGCTCGTAGGTACCCAAAATACCAAACTTTGGAGTATTGACTTCGGTTCTCTGATTCGCCTTTTTGATGAAATTCTTTTTATTATGGCAATATAATGCTAGTATTCATAGAATCAAATAATATCAGAGATGGAAGAAATCTTAATCTTGTCCTGTGTAAACTAAACTTCCTTGATGATGAGCCATTTATGTAAATTCACATATATAAATATGTAATGTATGTATATGTATGCATACACATAGACACACAAATGCAAATTTATAGGTTTTTCCCTTGAAAATTCTTATTCAATAGATCTAGGTAGGGATTTAAAAAACTATTTTCTAAATTAAGTTTGTTGGGGTAACATTGGTTATAACATTATATAAACTTCAGGTATATAACTTTATAATAAAGTATTTGTATATTCTATTGGGTGTTCACCTAAAGTCTGGTCTCCTTCTGTCACTTTGTATTTGACCTCTTTTACTCTTTTCATCCTCCCTCAGCCCCCTTCATGCTCATGATTTTGAAGTTTCATATTTTAAAGATGTCAATCAATATTCCCCACCCAAATCAACCTATAATTTCAACACAAAATCCCAACAGGTTTTGTGAGTGTAGAAAGTGATTATTTGATTTTTAGTATTTGATCTAGCTTTAGTTAAGTAATAAATGACACAGTTGTGGTTTTCACATGAGTATTGATGAATAGGAAAAAGTGAACACACAGATTAGCTGAAGGTAGGCCAGAGAAAAGAGAGAAGTAGGAGAGGTTAAAACCAGAATTTAAGGATTAAAAAAAAAAAACCTACAGAAATCTCTATGGTAAGAGGTGAAGTTGAATAAAAAATTGTTTCAAAATTGCCAAAAATTGGAAGCAACCAAGATCCCTTCAGTATGTGAGTAAAAAGTGGTACATGGAGACAATGCAATATTATTCAATGCTAAAAAGAAATTAGCTATTAAGTCATGAAAAAGACATGGAGGAAACTTAAGTGCATATTACTAAGTGAAAGAAGTAAACCTGAAAGGCTGCATACTGTAGTTGGAGGCTTTCAACTATAATCTAATATTTATCATTTCCTTCAAATTAAAAAGTATTATAGATGCAAATATTATCTCTTTAACAATTAACTGCTTGTTTTTCTCTCAAAAGCAAAATAAGCAAATGATGAAAAATATTATAACAGTCGTTTCATTAAAGCAACTGTTTTAGCTTCAACTTTACTCTAAATTATAGCTTAATTTTGTGAGGAACTAATATATTTTCAACAAAAATTTAAGAAATATGAGATAGAAAAGGCTCAGAGATATAATTAAAACCACAGACATTTATTATAAATCAATAGTTTTGACATTTCACAATTGGAGAGAGCAATGGGGTAAACAGAGCATTGAACTCTAAAACACCTGATCTATCACTTGTTAACTAACAACATGCGGGCAAGTTACTAACCTCTGAGTCAGTTTTCTCATCTGTAAAACTTCATAAAAGTATTAAGATGAAATAAAATACTGATACTCATAAAAGGTAAAAAAATGTAACATCAACTGAAAATTCTGAATCAAATTTAATTTATTTTATCATTTAAAGTTAAGATATATTTTCCTCAGTCTTAGAAATTTTTATTCTTAATATAAAATAATCACATCTTGTGAATTTTATATTTATAGTTGAATATTTCTTCAGTCATCACTGTCACTTCCTGAGTCACTCAGCTGCAAATCATTTTCTAAAATAAAAAATAGCAAAACTGTAATTAAATATTTAATATTTTAATATTTAATATATTTATGCTTGGATAACATAAATATTATAGAAAATTTTCAAGTGATACTGGTTAGCCAACATTTCGTGATTAATAATCAGTAATACAATTTAATTACATCATTAGTAACTCAAATTAATACTGCCTGTAAAGAAAAAATACACCACCAACCTTCAGCATAGTTTTAGTATCACCTGGCATCTATTTCAGGGTTCTTTCACATACCAACATCACCCTTTTTATACCACTGATTTAATTACATCAGGAAATGAGAGAAAATGTATTTAGAAGATCAGACTATATCATTTTAAAGAGTGCAAAAAAGTTATATAATTTGTTTACTTAAAAATTGTGAAAATTATTATGCTTGTTAATAGTAACTCTTCATTGATTCCTCTTGTAATTCATCTATGTGCTTATGGTCATGAAATTTACATTCTAGTGGGGGTAACAGTAAACAAATAAACAAATATATAATATGTCAAGTAGAGATAAATACTATGAAAAAATGAAGATGGGCATGGGAAGAATGGTGGGAGGTGCTATTTTAGATAGGGTAGTTGAGAAGGCTTCCTTGAGGGGTGACATTTGAACAGAGATTCAAATGTAAAGAGTAACTAATGAAAACATGGAGGGGGGTAATTGTCCAGGCTCAGAGAACAGCACATACAAATACTCCACGGCAGAAGCATCCTTGTTGTGTTCTCTGATTGTAAGAAGGTTGCTGTGGTTGGCATATAATGAAAAGAAAGGGAATGATAGGAAATGAGGTCAGAAAGATATTCGAAGACCATGGTTTATAGGTCATGGTAATAACTTTGAATTTTGTTTGAAATATAATGGGAATTCATCAGAAAATTTTAAGCAAGCAACTGAATTGGACACTACTGTGTATCAGTGAATAAACTTCAATAGTGTGGAAGAAATATGAAATCAGGGAGAGCAGTTATGAGTCTATTGCAGTTTTTCACATAAGAAATAACATTGGCTTTGACTCAGGTGGTTCAGGTGGAGGTGGTGCTAAGTGGTCAGATTTATGCTTTGAAGATAGAGAATATAAGACTATCAAAAACACTGGATTTAGGGCATGAGAGAAAGTGAAGAATGACCTCCAAAATTTCTGATCTAAACAACTGAATAAATGATGGTATAATTTAATGAGATGAGAAACACCAGAGGAACAAGACTGTGTGAGAAAAATCACAAGTTCAATTTTCAACATGGTACATTTGAGATACCTAGTAAATACTTAAGTATATATGACAAGGGTAATTGGATATACAAGTCTGAAGCTCAAGGTAAAGGCTAGAGCTGGAAATAAAGATTTGGGAATCATTGATTGTAGGGGTTTATTTGAAGCTGTGAGATTGGATAAAATCATTTGGGTAGTGAATTACAATAGTTAAAAAATTCTTGACATGGAAGCAACCAAAGTGTCCTACGATAGATTGGCTAAAGAAGCTGTGGTACATATATACAATGGAATATAACTCAGCCATTAGGAGAGATGAAATACTGCCATTTGCGACAACATGGATGGACCTTGACATAATCACACTAAGTGAAATAAGCCAGATAAAACAGAGTATAAATACCAAAAAAAATCCAGAATTAATAAAAACCAATAATAGACACTGTTTGAACATAAAACTCCCCCAAGTTATGCATGCTATAGAAATGCCTCAGTTCTTAGAAAGTTATATGAAAGTAATTCCACTAGGTTTTATATTGCTGAAATAATATAACAACTCTATGGTGATGCAGTATGTACATAAGTTCTTCTCTAAACATTTTCTAATAATTATGAAGCATACTTATCATTTGCATTTATATTGTCTTCCACGTATAATTTTGGTCCTCTAATAAGAAATAAATTTATAAGTATTCAAAAAAATTTATAAGTATTCAAAAAAATTATTGTATTTTTTAACTACTCCACAATCAACAAAAGCTGGCATATTTTGAAGTTGATACCAATTTAAGAGGAATAGTTTTTAGGCCATATATAAATTGTTGTATGATATCTCTGTCTACTACTTGAACTCCAGTACTGATTATATCGTTTGATAAAAAAATCTGCTAAAGCTTCTTTTGTACAACTGGTTCCCATGACCATTTTATTGCTTTCAAGGCTTAAGTTTCCACTTGTTATGTAACTATTTAATGGCATAAGACTGTTCAACTTGATATGATGCCTGTAATATGATTTTCTCAAGTGACACAAACCCAAACATCCTGAGTTCCACTTTTCTCAAGAGACTTCATGTTATAGAGGTTATATGCATAGTATCTCCATGCTGTTAAAATGCTCAGTCATTTTTGAAGATATGAGATTAGCCTTTGAATATGAGATGCTTAGTACAGGTAATACGTTTTCAATCAAAATGGTAATCATGACTTGGAAAAAAAAGATTACCGATGGCACATGCATTCAGAAGTCTACATCAGAGGTTTTCAATGAGAGCAATACTGCCCCCTGGAAGATGTTACAGAAATTTATGTGAGAAGTTGCTTGTCCAGATGATTTGCAGATTGCTAGCATTTAGTGGGAGGAGAATTTAGGGATGCCAAATGTCATGCAATGCTGGGGCCAGTCTTGTACAATAAAGACCTCTTCCACATTCTATACAACTTGCAACTCCAGTAGGGTATTCATGTATGAGAAGAACTGTTTATAATTTTAAGGCCAGAACCTAATTGCATTTTTAATTAAATTTATTGGGGTGACATTGGTTAATAAAATTATATAGGTTTCAAGTGTACAATTTAATAATATATCATCTGTGTATTGCATTGTGTGATTACCACCTAAAGTTAAACCTCCTTCCATCACCATATATATTTGATCCCTTTTACCCTTATTTACCTCCCCCACTCCCCCCTTTCCTCTGGTAACCACTAAACTGTTGTCTGTGTCTATGAATTTTCATTTGTCTTATAAACTAAAAGTATTTATTTGTACAGATTTAAAATTCACTGAATTGTACAAAGATAAAACTACCATATAAACTGAAAAAAGACTTATTTTGTTTTTCTCAGAACCTTACAAAGATTTTCTTTTCGAAATTGTTTTGGAAAACACATTAGCGACCTCTATGCTGCTCAGCAATATAGCACCTCAGCACTTGCCTGTATATGCAAATATATTAGTATATATGTTTGTCTTTATTTCAACACATTAAATAAAAGAAAAATTATTGACAATATGAATTTAATGTTGTCTTGCTTCTCTTAATTCAAATTTATTCATTAAAAGTGCAAACATATGGCTACTTTGTTATGTGTTCTAGTATATCCATGTTTGAACATTTACAAAGTAGAATATATATTCATTTACTATAAATTACTTTTTCATTTTTTCTTAATATTACATTAAATTATTTTCAAAGATGTATGTACCTAAGCTATGAAATTCATTTTAAGATAGTAAAAGGGACTTTAAAACATCTGTCATTAAAGAGGTTATTGGGTTTGATAAGGTTGAGAAATGGGATGATTGCAGTAATAGTAAGAGAGGGTTTATTTCCTCTTATTAGGAAATCTCCAATTTGGATAAATTATATCAAGAAAAGAAATTCACTATTTTTTAAAAGAAATCCCAAGTGGTTTTTATCGGTATAATAAATCACTAGTAACTTTTGCATATCCCTTTATGTATCCACAATATTTCCAAATTATTTTAGTTCTATAGTTTGCTGATTCTCTTGGATTTTCTATGTAGACAATTTTACATTATCTACAAATAAGGAACATTTTATTTCTTGTTTCTGATTCTTATATCTCATTTCTTTTACTTGTTTCATTGTACTTGGTAGAATCTTCAGAACAATGCTCAATAGAAATCATAATAGTCCTCCTTGCCTTGTTCCTGACTTTAATGGGAATGGTTCTAGTCTCTATTAACCTCATGTTGGCAGTAGTTCTGATTTTTATAATTAACTTTTATAAAGTTAAGGAAATTCCCTTATATTCGACCTTTGGTAAAATTTGAAAATTAATAAATATTGAATTTTGTCAAATTCAAATTTGTTGAAATAATCATATGGCTTTACTCCTATAATTTGTTAATATTGATAATATTTCAGATATTAATAATCCTAACATTAGAGAAATCAGATGCTCCAATTTTACCCCTCAAGTTAGGAATAACAGCACTAAAGAAATAAATAATTAGAAGTTCAAAAGACCTTTCCTGGCCCCTAATTAACTCATAATTTTACTCTGACTCTTTGCTACCCAGTTGTGGCTCCTTTTTTGTTTAGTTTTGCTATTAGGCTAGAGCTAGTCAGTCTTTCCTAGTTACTTACTTTATCATTATTAATTTACACAGTGCGATTAGTTTTAAACATAGAGAAAATCTCATTCTCCCCCAGACAGTACCAACCAGCATGCCTTCATTAAAAAGTATTTACTGAGCATCTCCTATGTATCAGGTACTGTGCTAAGAGCTAGTATTCAATGATAAGCAAAAATAAACAAGATTGCTGTCCTCCTGGAGCTTATACTTTAGAAGAAAGCAAACCGCACAAATAAATATAAATTTACAATTGTGACATTTGATATAAAGAAGATATTACTCTGAAAGTCTATAAAAAGGGAGATCTGATCTTGTCAAGAAGGTCAAGGAAGGCTTTCTTGATAAAGTAAACCTTGAATTATAATCTAAAGGAGAAAAAGTGAACTATATGAAAAGAAGGAAGTATTTCTGGCTAAATGGACATCTGTATAAGGGTCCTGATGTGGGTGAAAGTATTTGAGTAGGGTGGCAAAAGATGACAAATGTTGCTAGAACAGGAGGAGCAATACCATTATGTTAAGGTGTTATGTTGCTCTTCTAAAAGAATTTATAAGCTATTGAAAAGTTCAGAACAGAAGATGTGACAAATTATAGCTGAATTATGAAAAGATCAATCTAGCTGCAATGTACATAACAGATTAAAAACAGGTTTGAGTAGATATGAGGTGAATCAAAAAGTCATTGCATTTAACTAGAATGATAGTGGTAGAGATGCAGAGAAGTAGATGAATTTGAGAAATATCAAGGAGGTAAAATAAACAGGTAAAGGACTATAAAGAGAGAAAGTCGACCCTTGAATATAATCGGGTTTCTGGTTTCCATAATTAGAGGAATCCTGCCTTTCACTAAGAAGAAAACACTTAGCCAAATATTATAAGTTGGTTTTAGACAAAGTGAATTTGAAATGCGTCTTACTAAGAGATGATGTTGGATTTATGTATCTAGAGCTCACAGCTCTGGGTCAGAGATGCAAATTTACAAGTTATCTATTGATTGCAACAGAAATACAGAAATTATCTGGGGAAAGAATAAGGAGAAAAAGAGGACCTATGATTAAGCCTTGAAGAACTCCAGCTCTAATGACTGAGTAGAAGATTATAAACCAGTAAAAGAGAAAAAGAAAAGTATCTAGAAAGATAGGAGAAAAGCCAATAAGGCAGTGTGTAACAGTTGTTAGAAAATGAATAATGCAATAGAAAGGTTATGGTTAATAGTGTCAAGTGAATAAAATAGGAGTCTTTTCTCTTTATCCAAATTTTAGATCATAATCAAGAAGGCTTCACTGTGAATTCTTATTTTTTCGATTACTCATGCTTACATATACTTACTTAAAGTATTCATCAGAAGGCCACTGTTGTTATATCTATTATGACCAGCATCTATCTCAGGAATCTCGCACTGTGGCATGGCAGACATAGTAGGATGTCCTGAGATATAATTCCCAGGATCAGAAGGAGGGCATCTGTAATCTTCATTTTCTGAGTCACTGGAACTATCCTCACTGCTTGAAGATGATGAACTTTTAGAATCTGATGAACTATCACAACTACTCATCTGGTCCATTAGACTAGCTTCTGCCTTCAGTTCTGAAAATGTAACAGAAGATAACAGATGGGTTAAATAAACAATATTAAATATAAATATTAAATATAAAATTTAAATGTGTTAGTTTCTAAGAAAGCATTGATGAATAAATAAAATTAAACATATATTTACAGCATTTAAAGCATTTTATTTTAAAAATTTTATTTTAAATTTTATTTTAAAAAACCCTCTACTAGGACAAAATGAAAAGTAACATCCCCTCTTCCTACCCCTTCTTCAAGTTCCTTTAATCCTATTTCTCAAGAATAATCACTGCTAGCATTTTCTTGTGATCATATGTGTTTTTAAACTCTGCTTGGAAACTGGCATTTTAGATTCTGACACCCAACTCACCTATTGTTGGAGCTTGAGTTCATTCTTTATTACCACAATCAAGAGTTAAAAAAATAAAAAGAAAGAAAAAAGGAGCAATTCAATTTTTCCTGTAAAAACTGTATCCCTGGGCCCAAATCTTTCCTTTCTGGCTCTTCTCTGGTAGTATCTGTTTCTCCCTATTCTGTTTCTGGACAGCACACACAACAGTTCAAGAACCTCCCACCTAAAAAAATGCTTTTAAAAGCTCCTCTACCATAGAGCCAAGCCATACTTCAATGTAGGGATTATGAAAATTAAAAGACATAGGCAGTGTCTAGATCTAAATGCTACACTTTAAACCATTATACTCAAATATATATGTAATTCAAATAATGTGAAATTAAAACTGTAAAAATTAAAGCCTATTTGGCAGAAAACATCCTCCAATTCTTTTATTTCTCCAACACGTATAATGCAATGTAATACATACAGATGAATTTTTTTGTCAGCTCCACTGAGGTATAATTGATGAATAAAATTGTATATATTTAAAGTGTATACAACAAATTGGTTTTCATTGTGCAAATGTTAAATTTTGTCCAATGCTTTTTTGCGTCTATTGAGATGATCGTATGAATTTTAGTCTTCATTCTGTTAACACAGTATATCATGTTTATTGATTTTCATATGTTAAAACATCCTTGCATCCTAGGCAAAAATCCCACTTGATCATCCGTTTGCTAGTATTTCGTTGAGGATTTTTGCATCTATGTTCATCAGATATTGGCCTATAATGTTCTTTCCTTATAATGTTCTTGACTTTGGTATCAGGGTAAGCCTGGCCTCATAAAACGAATTTAAAAGTGCTTCCTCCTCTTCAATTTTCTGGAATAGTTTGAGAAGGATTGACATTAATTCTTCTTTAAATATTTGGTAGAATTCACCAGTGAAGCCATCTATCTGGTCCTGGACTTTCCTTTGCTAGGAAGTTTTTGATTACTGATTCAATCTCCTTACAGTATTGGTCTGTTCAGGTTTTCTATTTCTTCATGATGTAGTCTTGGTAAGTTGTATGTTTCTAGGTATTTATCCATTTCTTCTAGGTAATCCAATGTCTTAGCATATAATTGTTCATAAGTCTCTCGCGAATCTTCATATTTCTGTAGCTCCTATTATAATGTCTCTTTCGTTTCTGATTTTGACTCTTCTCTTTTTCAGTCTACTTAAAGGTTTGTCGATTTTATCTTTCAAAAAAACCAACCTAGTTTCATTCATCTTTCTATTGTTCTTTTAGTCTTATTTCTCTTATTTCTGCTGATATTATTTCCTTACTTCTTCTAACTTGGTTAATTTGCTCTTTTCTAGTTCTTTGAGGTATAAAGTTAAGTTAGCTGACATCTTTCTTTTTTCTTATTGTAGGCATTTATTGATATAAACTTCCTTTTTAGAACTGCTTTCATTGTGTCCCATAAGTTTTGGTATATTGTACTTCCATTTTCATTTATTTCAATATATTTTTCCCCCTTAACTCTTCATTTTTTCCCTATTTATCAAATTTTTATTATGGTGACATTGGTTAATGCTATCCAGTAAGTTTCAGTTGTACAATTTAATATTTCAAGATATTTTTGTTTCCTTTTTTATTTCTTTTTTGACCCACTGGTGTTTAGAAGTATGTTGTTTAATTTCCATAGGTTTGTAATTTTTCCAGTTTTCCTCCTGTTACTGATTCTAGTTTCATTCTACTGTGGTTGGAAAAGCTACTCAACGTGATTTCAACCTCCTTAAATTTGTTAAAACTGGTTTTGTGACCTAACATATGATCTATCATGGAGAATGTACTGTGTCTGCTGGGGAAGAATGTGTATTTTGCTGCTGTTGGATGGAATATTTTATATAGGTCTGTTAGGTCTATTTGGTCTAATATGTAGTTCAAATTCAATGTTTCCTTATTGATTTTCTGTCTGGATAATTCAGTCATTGTTGAAAATGGAGTATTGAAGTCCCCTACTAGAGTATTGCTGTCTCAATTTCTCCCTTCAGATGTATTAATATTTGTTTAATATATTTAGGTGCTCTGATGTTAGGTGCATAAACATTTACAATTATTATATCCTCTTGATAAACTGACCCCTTTATCATTTTATAATGACTTTGGTCTTTTATGACAGTTTTTGACTCAGTCTATTCAGTCAGATGTATAGCTACCCATGCTCTGTTGGTTTCCATTTGAATGGAATCTTCTTCTACCCTTCACTTTCACTATGTCCTTAAAGCTGAAATGGGTCTCTTGTCAGTAGCATATAGTTGGATCTTGTTTTTTATCCATTCAGCTACTTTATGTCTTTTGACTGGAGAAGTTAATCCATTTCCATTTAAAGTATTATTGATAGGTAAGGACTTATTATTGCCACCTCGATAATTGTTTTCTGGTTGTTTTGTAGTTCCTTTGTTCCTCTTGCTGTCTTTCTTTGTGATCTGATGAATTTCCATAGCAGTACACTTTGATTACTTTCTCTTTATTTTTTGTGTATCTACTAGAGGTTTTTGCTTTGTGGTTATCATGAGGTTGCATAAAATCTCTTATAGTTATAACAGTCTATTTTAAGCCAGTAATTTCTATCTTATAAAAGAACCCTACCCTTTTATTACCCTTCTCAGATTTTGTTTATGATGTCACAATTTATATCTTATAAAATTTTGTCTCTATTAACAAACTATTATAGCTATGGTTATTATTAATATTTTTATTTTAAATTTTATACTAGAGTTAACTGGTTTTCACATTACCATTACAGTATCAGAACATTCTAGATTTGACTATATACTTAACTTTACCAGTGAGTTTTCTATTTTCATTTGTTTCATGTCATGAATTAGCATCCTCTCATTTCACCTTGAAGAACTCCCTTTAGCATTTCCTGTAAGGAATGTCTGGTGGTGATGAATTCCCTCACCTTCTGTTTATCCGGGAAAGTGTTTATATCTCTTTTGTTTCTGTAGGATAATTTTGCTGGTTAAAGTAGTCTTGGTTGGGAGAGTTTTTTGTTTTTTACCACTTTGAAAATATCATCTCACTCTCTCTTGGCCTGCAAGGTTTCTGAAAAATCCACTTTCAATTTCTTTCTTTTTTTAATTAAATTTATTGAGGTGACATTGATTTAAAAAGCTATATAGGTTTCAAGTGTACAATTCAATATTACATCATATGTATATCACATTGTGTGTTCACCACCCAAAGTCAAATCTCATTCTGTCACCATGTATGTGATGCTTTTTATCCTTATCTACTTCCCCCTCTCCCTCTGATAACCACTAACTCTTGTCTGTGTCTATGAGTTTATTTGTTTGTCTTGTTCATTTGTTGCTTTCAGTTTTATGCCCCACTATGTGTGAAATTATATGGTTCTCGATTTTTTTCTGTCTGACCACCTTTAATATTTGTAATGGTCATAAGACTATTCAGATTATTGACATCTTGGTTAAATTTTGGTAGTCTTTAGCTTTTGAGGAATTGGTCCATTTCTTCTAAAGTGTCAAATTTAAAAACATAAAGTTTTAACATTCCTTTATAATCCTTTTAATGACTGCTGAATCTGTAATGATATTACATTCCTGATATTAGTGATTCGTGTCTTCTGTATTTTTATTATTGTGAGTCTTACTAGAAGCTTATCAGTAGTATTAATTTTTGAATGAACCATCTTTTTGTTTCACTGATTTTTCTCTAGTGTTTTCCTGTTTTCAATTTCATTAATTTCTGCCCTTATTTTTATAATTTGCTACTTTTTGCTTGCTTTGGGTTTAATCTGATTTTCTTCTGCTTTGTTGAGGTATGATTGATATATTGAGGTATTGATTTGACATCTTTCCTCTATCATTTAGTGCAATAAACTTCTCTATGCCCACTCTTTTAGCTGCATGTTTTGGAATGCTGCATTTACTTTATACATTTAATTTTATGTATTTTTAATTTTGTTTGATTCTTCCTCTTTAACCCATGGATCATTTAGAAATATGTTGTTTCATTTCCAAGTGCTTAGAGATTTTTCTGTTATCTGTTATTTTTGTTTGATTCCATTACAGAGAACATATCTCTGATTGCAGTTTTTATAAATTTATTGAGGCTTCTTTTATTGCCCAGGATATGGTCTACCTTGATAAATATTCTATGGGCACTTGAAAAGAAAGTGAATTCCACTGTTGTTGCATGGAATATAGATTAGATATAGATATAGATAGATGTCAATTAGATCCTGTTAATTATATTGTCAGCTTTTTCATATCTTTGTTGACATTTGGTCTAGTAAGTATATCCACTGATGAACCCAAGAATAATTACAGATTTGTTGAATTTTCCTTTCAGGTATATTAGTTCTTGATTTATGTATTTTGAGTTGTCTTTGTGCACACTTTTATGTTACCCTGGTAGATTAATCCTTTTAGCATTATTAATGTTCCTCTTTGTAGTAATTTACTTTGCTCTGAGTTTATCTACTATTAATACAGCTGCACAACTTTTTAAAATCAACGTTTGCTTGGCATATATTTTTCCGTCCTTTTACTTTCACCTAACTATGGTGTTTTTGAAAGTGTCACTTTATATATTTTCCTGAGTGGTTGCTTTGAGTATTCCAATATACGTACATGACATCAATATTTTACCACTTCAAGTAAGGTGTGGAAA